ATGTTGAATTTATTAAGAAACGGCACATTTCGTTTCCGTAACTGAGAAAAACTGAAAATTTGTAGAACAGTGGTAATCGGCCAGCATGTAAGAATGCTATCTTCCCGTCCTTTTTAATTTTTATTTTGCCCACCAAATTGCATTACTGCCCTCTGCAGGAGCATCATGGAAATATCTCTATTTGTTCCATGATCGTATTCACATGAATACATTTAGATAGTGGCACCTTGGTTTTCTGATGTTTCAGTTCAGACAAAATGTGTTTCATCCACCAAATGATTACGGATATTGTATAAAATTCAGGCTACATATATATGATGTACAATAAAAATAAATTAGTTTGGGCTTTGGGGTTAGCTTCTGCCAACCTAGCAGTTCGAAAACATGCAAATGTGAGTAGATTAATAGGTACTGCTCCGGCAGGAAGGTAACAGCACTCCATGCAGTCATGCCAGCCACATGACCTTGGAGGTGTCTATGGACAATGCCAGCTCTTTGGCTTAGAAATAGAGATGAGCACCAGCCCCCGGAGATGGACACAACTGGACTTAATGTCAGGGGAAAATTATTATTTATTTATTTACTGTATTTGTATACCGCCTTTCTCAACCAGTTGGCAACTCAAGGCAGTTTACAACAAATCAGTACACATAATATCATAATATAGGTTAAAACAAGATAAAACACAACAGAAGCAATGAAAAAACACCATCATTAGCATCTCCTTATTATGAAAACATTGTCCAATTCCATTGTTGAGTCATTGATTTCCTATATCAGTTGCTCTGCACTTGTAAACGCTTGCTCAAACAACCATGTTTTAACTTGTCTCAGAAACATTAAGAGGGAGGAAGCTGATCTGATCTCCCTAGGTCAGATAGCTGAGGGGCCACCACTGAGAAGGCCCTGTCTTTCGTCCCGCCAACTGTACTTCTGATGAAGGCAGGATCAAGAGCAGGCCTCCCCGGACCTTTAACTTTTTACCTATGTCTTCTTTGGTTTTTAGTTTCCTTAGCTCTATATACTTGAGACAGTGGGAAGGGCTGCAGGTCATGTGATTGTTTAGAATGCAGTTTTAAAACATGGTAACAGTTGAGTCAGTTAGAATACAGAAGTCAGTCTTAGAAATTAGAAGACAGTTAAGTCTTCAGTCAGAAGTCTGTTTTTCTTCAGCTTAGAAATGGAAATGAGCACCAACCCCCAGAGTTAGACACAACTGGACTTAATGGCAGGGGAAAACCTTTATTTTTACCTTTTACCTTGGGCTTTGGTCACATCTCCAGGAAAGGGACATTTATGCAAATATAGCTGTTCCAAAATCAGGGGGGAACCGAACTCCAAATACAACTAATCCCAAGCATTTTGGATAAGGGATACTAACCTATATTATTATTACCATCACCAACATCATCATGATTATGTTGCAGTTATCTATGACTGTTTTGTGATGCTATCAGATTGCCTGGTGTACCCTTGTTTGTAGTGTATTTGTCTTCCTGTAATCATTTCGCTGATGTGACCACAAGGACTTAACATATGCATAACATTTTTTCCTTTCTTCCTCCAGTCTTCTTCTCTTCCTTGACGTCACTCCAGGCGGAAGAGTTCTTCGACATGGTGGCCAAGGCCCAGGCCCGAAGGCTCAATGACCAGCGGGCGGATTTTGCAGGTGCTGAAGAGCCATGTGCTGGGAACGTCAAAGTTGCCAAAGAGCAGCTCTATGACACTATCTTGGAGCATCAGGTGAGTGGCATTGTCCTTCACAGAAGGCTGGAAGGCATGCAGGTAGCAAATGTTTTTAACGATGTTATCGGTTAATGTGGGCCTGCGGGTCGTTTCTCACTTACGGTGACTCGCTTGCAGAGTGGTTTTGTTCGGAAAAAACTCACTGGGCAACTTGTGGTAACTCTCTCAGCCTCAGAGGGAGACAAACCTCCTCTGGAGAAATCTTGCCTAGAATAACTTTACAATTGCCATAAGCTGGAAACGACTTGAAGATACAGAGCAACAAATAAACCCCAATTATAATTATTATAATTATTATAATAAACTTCCTTTATATTCTACTCTTATCTCCCCAAGGGACCTCAGAGCAGATTACAGTATGCACGTACCTGAGGGCCCGCTTATCCCCCTACCAACCCCAGAGATTACTTC